AAGAGAGGGGAATAGCTCACAACATTCACCCTAGCTACGGATACTCGAACCCACAATACCCTTACTGCCGCCAGACCCTCCGCAGCGTCTGCGGCTGAGCGCGAGCACCGGCAACATGTTATCTAATCCACTTCAACGTTTTTCACCTTACCAGAACATCACCTCCTCCAACATCTCACCGGATGGAAACGTCCAGCAAGGCACGATGTCAGGTACAGGACTAGAATCACTCGGCCAAAGCCATCAGTATCCGATTCAACCACTTTCGCAGGCTGTCCCCCTCTCAAACGTTCATCTGGAGAGGTCAGGTCCTCAAATAAAGAATCGACAACATCCTTATGGAATCCATCCGCGTAACGCCAGCACTTCAGGGCCCATCAGGAGAAGAATCAGTCGAGCTTGCGATCAGTGCAACCAACTACGCACAAAATGTGACGGCCAACACCCCTGCGCACACTGTATTGGTAAGTACTGAGGTCAAACATTAACGGAGTGTTTCTGACTTCTGTAGAATTCGGTTTGGGGTGCGAGTACATCCGCGAAAGGAAGAAGAGAGGAAAGGCGTCGAGAAAGGAACTGGCCCAGCAAGCTGCTGCTCAAGCTGCGGCGGCTGCCAATGGCCAGAGCCTCGATGAATCTACATCCGAGAATGGCCAACCCGGCAACAAGGGACTCGACTCGTCGAATATGGTCCTGGAGCAGCAATCCAATGAACGCCATCCGAGCACAAGCAGCAAATCGAGCAGAGATCCCGGCGACGATGTGATGCGACATACTCAAGGCCTGGAAGGTCTCGACCCCCTTGGCAACATAAGCGAGCAACCACACCTGGGCCGTTCTTCTCTGGATGGTGAACACATTGAAAATAACGGCGGTCTGGATCTTAACGGTTTCGGAAGTATGGCACACGGCTATGAGACGCAGGGTCTTGAAGGTCCTGTGCTCAACGGTCAGTCATATGCGGCCAATGGACGAGGCAACATGCCTGGTTATGCCGAATTCCAATATTCGATGCAAGCCCAGAGTCCTCCCAACTTCGCCAATAACTCCACATTCAGGATAGGAAATAGCCCTCTTGGGTACTCAATGGGAAAGGGAACTTCACCTGGATGGGGTATCTCAATGGCTTCACCGCCAGGTCAATATCAGTCCCAGGTCCCTGCTCCCGCCTTCAACAACTCAAAGTTGCGGTATCCTGTTCTTGAGCCATTGGTGCCATATCTCAACAATCTTATCCCGATCCCGCTCGCTTGCGATTTAGTCGACTTATACTTTGCGTCTTCTTCATCGGCCCAAATGCACCCGATGTCACCCTATGTCTTGGGGTTCGTATTCCGAAAACGATATTTCCTTGATCAGACGAGGCCGAGACCATGTCAACCAGCCCTCTTGGCAAGCATGCTTTGGGTTGCTGCACAGACTAGTGACGCTCCTTTCCTCGCCAGCACACCATCAGCTCGTGCCAAGACGTGTCAGAAGCTCCTAGAACTTACAGTGTATCTTCTTCGACCACTCATTCATACAGCACCAAGCGATGCGCCCAGCCCCGTAGCTGATGGTGTTGCTCTTGGTGGGTTAGGTGTGGCTATGCCCGGCTCCATTAGCCTTGATGCCACAAGTGGCGAATCAGGGCCATTTGGTGCCGCTGGTAGTCTTGACGACGTGATAACTTACATTCATTTGGCGGTCGTCGTCTCTGCTAGCGAATACAAAGGCGCAAGTATGAGATGGTGGACCGCTGCTTGGGGTCTTGCTCGTGAGCTGAAGCTGGGTCGCGAGCTTCCCTCTGGGCCTTCATCTGCGACTCAAGAAAATATGGACACTGATGCCGCAGATGATGGAGAAGGCGGTATTAGTGGTAGTGGATATGTAGGTGAGGAAGAACGTGAGGAGCGACGCCGGATATGGTGGCTCCTTTACATCGTCGACAGGCATTTGGCATTGTGTTACAATCGCCCCCTATTTCTGCTCGATATCGAATGTCAGGGATTGTTGCAACCCATGGACGATGCTCGATGGCAGAGCGGCGATTTCAGCGGCCACTCGAATTCCACCACAGATCCTAACTTATTAGGAACAAGCCCAGAAGGATATGGTGCCGACATGGTACAAGCTCATGGGCCTCAATACGAGTGTCGAGGCCACAGTATATTTGGATATTTCCTCCCTCTTATGACCATCCTGGGTGAAATTGTCGACTTGCACCACGCAAAGAATCATCCGCGTTTCGGAACCGGCTTTCGTCAAGGCCACGAGTGGAATGCCCAAACTGCAGAAATTACTCGACATCTGGAAATCTATGAGCAGAGCTTGCAGGCTTTCGAGCACAAGAACCTGCCCCGACCGGGGGAGGAAAGAGTCGATGCTCAGAACGAGGGTAACGAGCGCTCAGGGGTTCCTGATGCCAACACGCCGTCAGTTCACTCGGTACACACTAATGGATCTAATCGCCTTACCGAGAGCAATATCCAGACTCGAATTGTTATTGCATACGGAACTCACGTTATGCACGTCTTGCATATTCTTCTGGCTGGAAAATGGGATCCCATCAACTTGCTGGATGATGAGGATCTGTGGATCTCATCGCAAGGATTCATCACATCAACGAGCCATGCTGTAGCTGCGGCTGAAGCGATCAACCAAATTCTTGAATTCGACCCCGGACTGGAATTCATGCCGTTCTTCTTCGGTATCTATCTTCTTCAGGGGTCGTTCTTGTTGCTGCTTATTGCGGATAAGCTGCAGTCGGAGGCATCGCCAAGTGTTGCAAAAGCATGCGAGACAATTGTGCGGGCTCACGAAGCATGTGTTGTAACTCTAAGCACAGAATATCAGGTAAGTCCTTCTATAATTGAGCTCTCAGCGCAAGTACTGACAATGGATAGCGAAAATTCAGCAAAGTTATGCGCAGCGCTCTTGCTCAGGTTCGAGGTCGTGTACCTGAGGATCTGGGAGAGCAGCAGCAAAGGCGAAGGGAGCTTTTGGCGGTTTATCGATGGACAAAGGACGGAACAGGATTGGCCCTATGAGCAAGGCTCTGGTCAAGTTAACGGCAAGGAAACCAAAGGGATTGGAAAAGGAGGCAACGTATTCGCGGCGGCGCATTGGGACACTCTCTTTCGGGTGGATAACGGCCTTTATGGACTCGAGACATGACTTGAGTATGGGAGCGGCACGGTGCTTTTAGATACCATGAAGCGGGCAGCAATATGATGTCGAAAAGCCAAGTCTTTTGGCATTTGGAAATTCAATTCATATCAATCTTTTGAGTTCTTGGAGAGTTGGGTGTCTTTCTTAGGATGATTCGAGGTCGATGATGGTGAGAATGACTAGTAAAGGAATATATCAGCAACGAGATCAAAATGCTGGTTGTATGTGAGTGAGTGCTAGGTGCTGGGTGCTGGGTGCTGGGTGCTGTTCAAACAAAGGGCGCAGATGTAAGATGAAGGGGATGGTGAACAAGTGTGTTCGGTAAGACTATGACAGAACGAGTGAGCATGTTCATCTCAATAGATTGATTCTTGGATCGATTATTTCGCCCTCTTGATCCCAATGGCTCTTTTCTCCATCTTCTCGTCAATGTCTCCTCTGCGCATCGCCAACGATCCTGCTAACGACCAACGCCAACCGTAACCCCTATTTACGCCCATCAACACAGAACGATTCAGCGCTTCCTAAAATGTATCCCGAAGGATTGAGAGCGCCTGGCATTGATTCTGTGTATTTTTCGTTTTGATAGCTTAATAATTCGACGAGCTGTTTTGACGTGTACCATCGATGCGGCGTCTGCCTACGACACGAACCACGAGACGAGTTAGCTGTGATGAGGCGGAACGATCGATACGACTCCATAAAACCTTGACGATGAAGACATGATATAAGAGGTCCTCAGGGTCGGGTTTTGGAAGCTTGGACACTAGTGAATGTCGATGATGGGGCGAGTTGGCGAGTTGGGGGGTAAACCACCAAGACGAATTAAGACATCAACAAAAGAAATAATAACGAATGACTCACCAAAGATTGTTCTTTTCGACATTTTTGTAATTGTAGTAAGAGTGTGAAGTAGATAAACAATTATCAAAGTGCATTCTCGCTAGAATCTTTGTTTTCGTTGCATGTCACGCCTCGTGCACCCTCGCGAGTAACCACGTCATGTGCTTTCCTCACCCAGGCGACTGGCCGTTTATTTCCCTGCGTATCAACTTGATGTGGGGGATAGAGGCTCTGCAGTGCCGGGATTTGGAACTCCACTCTCGACTTCAACGCATTGGGTCCGCCAGACACTCGACGATATAACTCCATAGGCATGCATCACTTGTAAAATATTATACATTCTATATAGATACATCATAAAGCATGCTCATGATTACGTATTTAGAGAAATTTGGGTAAAATATGTATGAGATATGCTCACGTGGGCTGCCAAACAAAAATGCAGCGTATGGCTTCCATTGCATCAGATGGGATATAATCTGTTGCTCTGCCCGTGACGTCTTCTTTTATTAATCCCGTCTTCAGGCGCGTCTTACACCTGCAAACTGTCTGTCTACGCGTGCCTCCACCTTCATAGGCGGACTATACCTCGCAGTGACCAAGTGCATTAGCTCATAATGCCCCTATGCCACTGCTAGATTTCCATGTAGGGAACTCACTAACTTGTCTCGACTGCATTGCCCGCTGTTTCTACTGCACTGGCAGTTCCAGGTCCGCTTCACTGCGTTTGCTGTTCTGCCTTCTTGGTTGCTCCACCCACTTCGTTCCCCCATCTCTTCCTTTCTCCTCTCTCATCTTCTCCCATCACAACAACATTCTCACAAACCAAAAAGTTCTTTTTTAACACAACACACTTCTATCATCTGAAGCATCTTCTTTTGATCCCTCTCTTAATCACGAGCATCTCTTGCTTTGTCATTTCATCCATCTGCATTGCACTCTGCATCGCTGGATCGACCATCCCCGACCTGTGCAGCTATTCACTGCCGCACGTCAAATCTACCCTTAATCACTACACGATATATTGATCACAGAATCACCGTCACACTCGTAACCCCTTCTATTTATTCCCCACGCGGATTCGCGTTCCGAAGACACGATGTCTAAACGACTTCTCCCGAAGCCTCCTCGACCTGCACACCCGTTGTCTCAAGTACATCTGCCACCCGGGTCTGCTGAAGAAGCCATCGCATCTATCAGAGCTTATGGATCCAGTTTTCCACAAGCTGCTGAATCCCAGACAGCTCAGAAATCAACTAATCTCCAGATTCCTGCTGTGCCAGCAACCGGACAGTCTCAGCAACCTCAGACCGGAGCGCCCCTTTCTGAGAAAGCTAAGGGAAAACAGCCAGAGAAGGCTCAGGAGCAGTCTTCAGCATCTCAAATTCCTGTTCCACAGGCATCTCAACAGGCTCAACAACCTCAGACCGAAGCACCCCTTTCTGAGAAGGCCAAGGGGAAGCAGCCAAACAAATCTCTGAAGCGGTCTATCGACAGCGTCGAGCCCTCAACTTCCCAGGAAGGTCCTCCTCTCAAAAAGCCCGTTCCTGCTGATTGGTGGGAGGCCCCCGGCTTCTCTGAAGCGTTCAAGCAATTCCACAGAGACAGATACCGAGGCAAACGAACTTTCGCATCGGGTCTTACTAAGGGAATTGTTGACCTGGCTATACTCGAACACAAGAAGATCCAGGCTGCTGCTGCCGCTCATCAAGCTACTTCCGACCAGGTTGTTGCTAATCCGGCTGCGCTTGAACAAGACACTGCCACGATAACTGCAGACCTTCAAGCTCTCGAGAACCTGCCCGGCGACCTCTCCTCCGACATGGGTACAGACAATCAACAGACAGCCCTTGGCCCTCCGATTGACCCCCAGCTTCAGGAACAGTATGTCGATAGCTCCATGGACCCTCGTGCTCACGCAATGTTTGTCGGAGGTGTCAAGCTCAGCCAAGTTGGCTTGGGGCCCGATTCTACTCTTCCCAAGGACGATGTTGATGGTCGTTTCAAGCTGATCAAGACTGAGCTCAAAAATCAGGCTTCCAGAGTACCCATCCCTCCCGCCTCTGCACTTCCTCGGCAGCCGCCCAAGGCATTTGTTGGTGGTACCTACCAGATCCCGACCGGTGTTGAAGACCCTCGTCTCAAGGAGGTCCTGAGACGAAGGAACGAAATTATTCTCAACACACAGAAACAGGTTGATCTTGACCGTAACAACTTAGCTGCAAAGGGAACTCGCGAGCGACGGGAAGAGAAAGAAAAAAATCTCAAAAAGATCATTAGCAGGTTACAAGTCGAAATGAACTGGTGGCGTCTCAAGGCTGTCTCTCTTGGCGGCAATACGCGAGAATGGGATGGTATCCCTGACTCCCTCAAGAACAAAATGTTACAAGATATGGATGAAAAAGTGTGCAACGCCGAGCTTGCTCAATCGGCGGAAACTAAGAAGATCAAAGGATTAGAACATTCTGCTCGAAATACAGAAAACGCAGTGAGTAATAGTGCTTACGATCCAAACGAGAAACTTACTAACATGTTGTGTCTAGCGACTGTTGAAAGAGGACGGCGCCAAGAAGGAGAAGGTGGTTCAAGCAATCATTGCTGCCATTGAGGCTAAAGATCGTGAATCCCAGGACGCCAAGTCTCAGGGAATAGAAGCCCCTGAGATGAATCTCGACGAATTCGTTGAGATGACCGTTCCTGACGATGAAATCCCTGTCGATACCACTACCGCTCCCGGTGTGACGACTTGGGACACGGCCGAAGCCCCTACTCCTATCGATGGCAACCTCAACAGTATCTATGTCAACACGGGGGTCAGCGACATCAACATCAATAATCGCGGTGTTCCAATTGAGACTACAACCAATATCGGTGAAAATGCCAATGCTGGAGGCGCAATCGGACATGTCAACACTACTGATGTCAACAATGCCATGGAAGTTGGCAATCCTATCAATATCAACAGTTCTATGGGTCTCAACAATGCGATGGATGAAAACGCTATGGATACTGACAACATGGTCGGTACATTCGACATGAGCGACGGCTCCCTTCCTCCAAACAACTGGGGCTATCAAGCAAATGGTCAGATCGACAATCTCCCTGTTATGTCTATGGACTTTCAAGGTGCTCCCCTCAACAGCTATGGCCTTCAGGACAACGGCATGCAGAACAACTGCCTTCCTGACGGTAATTTGACTGATAATGGACTCCAGAATAACGTCTTTAACGGCTTTGACCCCCAAAACACCAACTTTCCCAACTTGGAGTCTCAGGGCAATGGGTTTATGCAGAACGGTCCCCAGGACAGTTCCTTTATTATGAATGATATTCAGAACACTGACTTCTCCAACAACGGCCTTCAGACCAATTCTTTCACCACCAATGGTTTTCAGAGAATTAACTTTCTCGACAACGGTATTCAGGGCAATGCCTCTTTTGACAACGGTCTTGAGGGAAATGCCTCTTTCAACAACGTGATTCAGGGCAATGGCTCTTTCGACGACGGTATTCAGGGTAATGGCTTTTTCGACAACGCGATTCTGGACAATGCCTCTATCAGCACTGGTCCTCAGGGCAATGGTAACGCAACGAATAAACCCAAGCCCTATAGAGTCACTAAGACCAGCAAGACTAGCAAGGCCAGCAAGAGCAACGGCCGTACGATCAAGAAGCCCGAGAACATTAGAGGCGAGATCACTGGAGCCGATATCCCTAGAGTTGAGAGCCCTAACCCCAGAGTCGAGAACCATAACCCCATCAACCCAATCGTTCTCGCACACGCTAGACTTGATCACATCGATTCCAGAGACCCCTATGCCTTTGGCGGCCGACCTCCTAGTGCTAGTCAACAGATTATCACTCCTCGGGCGAGCGATTTCGCAAACGACAAATACCTGACATATGAGAACTCTTTCACAAGCGCGGGCAACCAAAGTCTCTTTACATCTGAATATGAAATGGTCCCTTCCGACCCTCACAGCCATGAACTTTTAGCCACCGACTACCCTCAAAATCACTCCAACTACAACAACACCTTCGTTGAGCCCTTCGATACTCAGGGTTCCAGCTATCAGTCCTCACAGGCTGGTGCTCATAATGGCAGCACTTACTCCTACGCCGCTACCAATGATACGGATTTCCGAGGATCTTACACCGATCTCCTTCAGGATTCGGAATGAATCCTGCCCCAATCCGACATCAAGTCCTTTCTACTATCTCACAATACGATTGAGAGATGAGCATATTTGCTACACTTGTATGGTTCTTGTTTGAGAATGTTTTACTTGATTTCTTTTTTGCCACTTTGCTTTCGTCGCTTATCTCATACAGTAGAGCATCGCCTTGTTGTGGAAACAAGAGCTTGATTATAGCACAGTTCGTTTGACTTTACGGAATGAAACCCCCTTGGCCACACAGCCAGAAAGGAATCGACACACAGTGGTCGACACTAAGGACCAACTACTCATCAGGATCGAAACGACTTCTTTGAGAAGGTTAGAACGGAATGATTATCGCCCACTGCGTCTCGAGCTACGGAAGATACCCTTCGATATCAGAACGGATAGCCCCCAAGGATGAGGGGAATGGATACATTGTTGTTGGAGTTACGGTATTGAGTCCACAGGAAAATGGGGCTGGTATGAACATCTTGTACGGTATTTCAAAAGAAAACAAAAATTCGAAAGCACATAGGTGGTCACTAGGTATAGGATGCCTTCACAGGCTTGACTAGCAATACTAGACATCTGCAACAAAATCGTCCCTCTTACTCTTGTGATTGAATGGACAACACACTCCAACTGTGAATCATCGTCTCACGGGTATAACCAACTCAGTCTCTTCTCCCCCCCAACACCCTCTATCTTGTCCATGTGCTCTGCTAACCATCTATGCATAGACAGGTCCTTCAGGCTTTGGCTGGGCGGCCTCAGCGTCATTTTGGGGTCTAGGTGAGAATGAAGAGCCATGAGGATCAGCCAGACAAGCTCTGACGAAGAACACCGTGAAGACGACCACCAGAACCCTGAAGGTACGTTAACAACAACCGTTCAATTGGGGAGCACACAAACTTACCAAGTTACAGCACCCAGAGCAGCACCAGCGGCCAGCGTGGCACCCCACGCATCAAGACCATTCGCCCGACCAAGTCCATAGTCATCGTACACACGATAAAAGTCTGCCGCCCACGACGCAGCCCACGCCCAAGCAGAAAGCCAGAAGATAGCTGTGAGAACAAGAGAGCCGAAGAAGAGAAGACGCATGTAGAGATGGGGGGCGAAATACTCAGAGGCGAGCATGGAGCCTAGAACGAGCCAGGTGAAGATAGCCTGCATTCGTCAGTTACTGTCATCGTTCCAAGGAAAATGGCTGTTCGCTGGGGAAGAGTTACGTCAAATATGAGGAAGCCAGCTGGACCAGAGCCACCATAGTATTGGGCCCAGCTTCCGAGGAGGGAGAGATGGTAGGCTGCGGTTATGAGGACACCGAGGGAGAGGACAATAGCCGCACCGCGAAGGATGGTGAACCAGAAAGGCATCTTTGGGACACCTGTGACCGTCAGGCCGTGAGTTGATGTTGTAGTAGACATTGCAAGCCACGAATATTGGGAGGATAGATATCTAGATGTGTTGAAGACAGTTTGACTCTTGAGCACTCAAAGAACTACCAGTCTGACTACTTGATCCTCACTTACAAAGAGGGGAACACCCTCTTCTTAAATACCAAGTCCTCCACCCCTCTCGATCCGAAAAAAGCAAGCACTGAAAAACTGTCAAACCGTTGGGCAGACACAGGGCTGAAGGGAGGAGCCGCTTGATGGGGGAGTGAGTCAGTCTCTGAATGGACGCCACGTCGAGGCCTCCCAGTTACGAGTGTCTGTTATGGGAGATGGAGTTTCAGCCATTACAGGGGAGCTATTAACCATAACCGAGGAGGTTAGATGGTAATTTACTACGGGTATGGCGGATATATCGGTGAAGTTAAAGGCTTCAGCTGAGGCAGATTTGACTTGACAGCGCTTGCTAAAGACTATCATCTGATTCCGTCCAGCAAAATGATGAAGAACACAGACATTTAGATAGAAACATGAATAAACAGAGTAGTATTTTTAGTAAATTCCTTCTCATGTGACGGTCTTCATGGTCTTGTCATGCATGCAGCGGCTATACAGCCAGTAAAACAGAACATGCCCTTGCATTGTCTTATCACCCATCCATCAAGTACGGGAAAAAAAAAGCCTAGAGACAAGGACACCAACAAGAGAGCGGCTTTTTACCACACCCCCTTGTCAGTCTCGTTTCACTCTGCAGATCCTTTACAGGGAATAGCATCTGCCGTGATTTCTCCACAGAAGGTGCCATGCCTCGCAAGTTGGTGGGATTATTCGTATTGACTTACACAATCAATTAAAGTTATTACCCAAATCAAGCCAGTTATGACATGTATTGTCAGTGATAAAGTGGCAGTGAAAAGCCTAGGGTCGCAATCCAATCATGGGGTCCGTGGCGCACCTCTTTTTTAATAAGCCACCATCTTGGCATATTAGGGCTGAAAGAGCATGAGATTAAGTGAAACATTTGATGCGGGTGATCACAAGGGTAGAGATAGCACTGTTGTACCAACGAATAGTATTGGTGTAAGTGTTCGTTATCATGTCTGAACCAACATGGACAGTATGTCTCGGCTCGCCTCTTTGTCCTCTACCTATCTCACATGAACCGCTCTCCCTCTAACCCAGACCCTCTTAACATTCCTGTCATCTCCATTAAACAGCCACTTCGCAATCTTCTCCTCCCAAGTCTCCCACCCGAAAACATTCACATTCCCATCATCCTCAGCCACGCCATCCTCATCAACACTCCCCAGTCCTATCAACTGGGCATCCCACTCCATCCCCTCCTCAAACCCACCGATTCTATCAGCCAGGCCAACAACCTCTGCACCGCCCCGAGTTGCAAGATACAGCACCTCTTCGACCGTCAACTTGCTCCGTTCCTTTTCCTCGTTCATTCCCATCGCGACGTGTCGACTCACAAGGGCTGCTTGACGTGCTGCTTCGAGAATAGAGGGGCTGTAGCCACCGCTCATGTCTGTACCGAGACCAACTGTGATGCCCTTATCCCATAGCCATCGTACACGTGCAGAACCGCTGGTGAGAGAACTGTTACTGCACGGGCAATGCGAGATTTTGCTTCCTCGTTGTGCAATCAACTTTGCTTCCGCTTCGGTCAAGTGAATTGCATGCGCAAGAATCGTCCGGGTGGTTAGAAGACCGCAATCATCGTACAATTGCGTATATGACTCCGACTCCGGAAACAGCTTGGCGACAAGATCGACTTCCCCTTCGTTTTCGGAAACGTGTGTCTGGACAGGAAGATCTAGCTCCTTTTGGATCTTCGCCAGTCCCTTCATCGAGTCGCTTGAGCAAGTCGGTGCAAATCGTGGTGTCAGCACCGGTGATACAAGCTTAAACTCAGGATCGATTTTCTGAACATGTCGAATCGTCTGTCTCGTCTTTTCAAGCCCCTCTTCGACACTCTCATCGCGATAGTAGCTTGGGCACATGTCAGGGTTGTCCATACATACGCGTCCAACAAGGGCTCGCTGTCCTATCTCCAGGCACAGATCAGCGAGGAGATTCGTTGCTGCCACGTCGATGGTAGCATAGTAAGCAGCTGTTGTCGTCCCATGGGATAATGTCCGTCGAACACATGAGCCATATACTCGCTTTGCCTTGCTCAAGTCCTTTAGACTGGACTCTAGAGGAAATGTGTATTTTTCCAACCAGTCTAGGAGTGTGGTCTTTCCAAATATTCCCACGTTTGGGTATTGAGATGCATGAACATGTGAGTCTGTGTTTGTTAGTGAGGTTCTTGAAAACGAGGGCTATATCACTCACCGACAAAGCCAGGGAAAAAGAACTGGCCGGGCTTCGCGATATGAACATCTACATCGCTGAGTTCCCAGTCCAGAGTTTCACGTAGTCTCTTTCCGATCTGCTCAGTACTACCGCCCTCTGTATCGACCTTGACAATTCTACCCTCTCCATCAACACATACGATTGTATCATGCTGATAGTTAAGCTCTTTGAGGTTTTTGCTGGATATGAACGTCCCTACAAAGACCTGCTTCTTTAAACCCGTCATTGTAAATTCCTCTATATCTCAACCTCTCAAGCGTGTGTCGTGTTGTTGAACAATAAGAGGTAAGATGTCGCCAAGTGGGGATGATGTAATAGCGAATAGAGCCGAAAGAAAGAGAATCCCAAAGAACAAGAAGAAAGAATCTAAAGTCCTTCCTCTTTGGACATTATATACGAATTCATGAACACGTAAACTTATCTATTTTTCGTGATATTGTTAGCGACCAAAGCGGACTTGATTCCCTTGATAGGCCACCTCCACCACTTGTCCGTCTCCGGCTGTCGCCGGCAGCCGACCGCTACCGCTCGGAACCAGTGGGATCCAAAGCTAAGGTGGTACAATTGCCGAGCCGAGGCATGCCCATCAATGTCAGGTATTTCCCTATCTCGTCAATTATTTCCTACACCAGCTTCACTTGTACGACAGCATAGGTAGGTAGCGAACCAACATCACAAACTTGCGCATCACCAAGCTTTCACGGGATAAGATACGATATTCGATTCATGAACCAAATGTCATCAAAACATTCAAAATTGTCTAAAACTTGTAGCAAAAAGCAAACGCCCCTCTAGCTAAAGATAACAAGATACATCATAATATACTCATACCAGGATAACAATCCGGCCGGAAATCTGTAAACTCTCTTCATGATCATCCATCCATCTCTAATCTTCCGTTGTATCATGTCTTTGCATGGTCCCTTTCCTCTTTTTTATTATGTTTCCCTTTCTCATCTTTCTGTTTTTTAATTTGCTTAAGCAGCACGACCAGAGCCCTCATACTCGCCACTGGAGCTGTCGCTAACCTCGACACCGTTGGTAGGGGCCTCATCCTGGTTATACTTCTCCCAGTTGGCCAACACAGCACCAATCTTGGGTGAGTTGGTCAGCTTGTACACATCCTCAAAATACTCCTTGGTCAGCGCGAACGGCTTGGCCGTCACGTTGGGAATGTACTTTCCAACCAACTTGGAGGGGTCGATGGATGTCTTGTTGATCTTCTTGAGTAAGAAAGATCGGAAAGGCTTGACACCAGATCGAAGGAAGGTTGAGTGGAAAGGCACATCGATACCACGGAGAGGGATGGTAGCGAAGCCACGCTCCAGCTCAAGGGGAGTGGGCTTGGCAAGGGTCTTCTCGGCACAGCCGCGAATGATCTCGCGGAGGTGTCCCTTAACCTCCTCAATGTTGTCCTTGACCTCTTCAATATCAATCTTCTGGATCTTGATGAAGTTGGTCACACCAGCAAGAGTATCGAGCGCACGGAGATCACCAGCGCACACATACTGCATATTGGCAATGTTGTAGTTGACAATCTCAAGGAGCCAGCCAGTCTCCTCAGCAATGTTGTCAACAACGAACTGGAGAGCAGCTTCGTTGAAGGTCTTGCTGATGCGGCTGGGGTTGACGGCACACATGGAGTAGTTGGATCGGCCGGCAGCATCACGCTCGACGGCAACCTGCATGGTGAGACCACGGTAGAACACAACGGACACCAAACTCTCAATTGGCATGACCTCGGCAAGGGCGGCAAGGGCCGAGTATTCACCAAGAGAGTGACCAGCGAAGGTGCTGTTGTTAGGCACAAGTCCCTTGGCCTTCATGTCCTCAAAGCTGGCCTTTTCCATCAAGGTAAGGGCAGGCTGAGTGAATTGAGTGGCCGAGAGAAGACCAGTGGGGGAGCGGTAGGTGTATGAGGTAGTGGTCTCATCAATCTCCTTGAAAATCTTCTCAGACTTGATGCTACCATCCGCAGCGACGGTCTCGAAAGTCATCGCAATGTAGTTCTGGCGGATAGCCTTACCACGGGGACCGCCGAAGTGAATCGTGAGCTCCTTAGGGTTGTTCTTGACTATGTTGGTGATGGAGAAACCATAGGCATCGAGGAGGTACTTGTCAGCGCGATCCCAGACCTCCTTGGCAACGGGACTGCTGGCGTACAACTCCATACCCATACCCTGTTCCTGAGAACCCTGTCCAGTGAAGACATAGGCAGTCACAGGCTGCTCAACCTCGGCCTCACCCTCAAGAACCTTGTCCTCAGTCTCCTTGTTGCGGACCTCAACCTTGATGATCTTGCGACCAGAGACCATGCCAGTGTGTTGAAGCTTGACCTCGAGCTCATCATTGGGCAGAACCATGCCAACAAGCGAGGCGTGGAAGCTTCGGACACGGCCAATGTTGTTCTCAGCGGCCCAGGTCTCGATCAGGCTCCGCACGGATGCACTAGAGTACATGCCGTGGGTGATGGTGCCAGGGAGGTTGGCATAGCTGGAGAAGACACGGGAGACGTGGATGGGGTTGTAGTCACCGGACACACGAGCGTAGTTCTCGTTGGAAGCAGGGGCTCGGAGAGCGAGAGGAGACTTGCCGCTGAGAGGGATGGAGTTCTCGAAGTTGATGGGCTGGTCGATAGGCTGGCCGTTACGCTCAAGGTAGTCAACAACGGGGTTACCATGAGACTCTCCGGTCTCATAGTCGACGCTGCCGACCTGGATAATCTCCTTGGTGGGGAGTTCAAGCAGAACCTGGCCTCGGGTCTCAATGCTGCTGAAGACAGCCTTGTTCTTGTAGCGAACCAAGCTCTGGAGGCGGAAAGTTAGGGTCTGGCCAAGCAGGTCAATGTTCTGAGGAAGCTCGTCGACGGAGAACCACTGCTTGGATCGAAGGATAGCAACATCGCGAGTGGTGGCAAGGTGAACCTGGATAGGAGTCTCAACCTTTCGCTGGAAGGTGTTCTCGTAGTCGGTGTAGGTACCACGGTACAAGAACTGGGATGTAACCTCCATAACAGGCTTGCCATCACGGACGAGAGTACCACAGACCTCAACCATCTTGCCAGCCTCCTGGTTGATGACGGCGTTGATCTGGGCAGTAGTG